TATTTTTATTTTATATTAAACGTATAATTTGAGTAATGCGGTCAATATACTAATATTTTGAACCTCCAAATAATTGCTGATGTATAATACGCGTGGTATAATGATTGACGACGGATAAATTAATATTATAATGTAGATATGTGTTGGTAATTTTTTTTGAAGCCCTTCCAAACGATAGTAATATTATATTCACTTGACAGCTTGTATAGATTAAAAACGATTTATAAGACGTTGTCGCTATTGAGCCCAAAAGCTATTAACCAATAACCGCGATAGCTACCCGAATTATTATATTACAATATGTTTTACTACCATTATTTTATTTTTATTTTATTTTATTTTTTTTCGGTATAATATTTATATATAAATTATACAATGTGAGTGCGCAAACACATACCTACCTATTAATATAATATTATTTATCACTTGCGCGTATAATATATTTTTATCGTCTAGTTTTTATGCCGCACAGGTGCTGCGCGTGTTTTGATTTTTATGATTGTCATGAAACATATAAGTACACGTAAATAATTGACGTGATCTAAATTTATCGTGCCGAAGGGTAACCCAAAGCATACTATAGAGCTCAGTGGTCATCCTTGACAGCGCTTTTGCCGGCTATACCTATATGTACTCGTACACAATTATTATTATTATCATCGTGTATAATATACGTTATTCATAATACTGTTTCAAGAAAATTTGCAAAGTATTGTCGTAAGCATAAAAAAAAACTACATTATATTATTATAATATTACTATGTATATATAAATGTATAACGTGTCGTTATAATATTCGCGTAGCCGCAATATTGCTGTAGTAGATGTTATTTGGAAGAAAAAAAAATGTGGTTTAGGAATTCTATACGTACAACACGTGTTATATATTAAAAGAATAATATATTGTTTATTCGTCCCGAACTGCCGATCGGTCATAATAATATTATGTCGAACACAAAGGTTTGTACGAAGAAAACACAAAAAAAAATATAATAAAAAATACGAGACTGATTTGAGATATTATAATATTATGTATTATTATTATTATACAGTATTACAGTGTTTAATTATTGTGTGCGCATAAGCTATTATATTGTTTTTTAAACGTCCATTCGTTGTTTTCCAGATGTTTACATTTTTATTGTTTTTTACGACAATATTTAATGATTTTATTACCGACAATAATCATAATAAGCCGCGCACAGTATACGAATAATAATATAATATACTTATAGCTTGCTCGTAAACATTTCGAATTAATTAAATGTCGCATAGTATAATAATATTCAGTATACCCTATACGTCTATACATAATAAAGAAAAACCAGTATTTTTACTAAAAACAAATCTGGTCTCTGGTCCGTGCGACATTTTGATCTATACCTACTATACCTACTATATCGTCGACGATCGTTTGTTCTAATGAACATTAAGACTCGAATAAAGTTGGAATAATACCAAAAGTATTGTTGAATTCGCGGGAATTGGTAGTTAGAATGAATAAAAATAAATAAAAATCATAATATATATTTGATATATTACCAATACTCTTTTTAATCTAAATACTCTGAAAATATTTATAATCACGAAAATTTCCCGTCTAGTAACTATATAATGAGCACGTTTAGTACGAAAGCAGAAATTGCTGCTAGTAGAATAATCCAAATTTTAAATCTGATATAACTTATTTTTCATTTCAATTAGATTTTGTTAGTTACGTTTTTTTTTTTTTTTAATTAAGCAGTTTTTTTTAAGTACAAAAGTTAAATTTGTTTTGTTTTCCCGAGAATATTTGATAGTGTTTGTTGGGTTAATTCAAAAAGTCAGTTTATGTAATTAAAAAATATTTATTTTTATAAACTTGATGGAATCAGGATAGATTATTCGGATTACTTGTATTGAGTTTAATATAAGTTGTTTTCGTGTTGAGTTGGGTTTTCACTTCTCACTATTACAAGCTGTGTGTAGCTAACGCGTGTTACCAAGATTTTGTTAACTATGTATTTAAAAACAGGTACAGAAGATTACATAAAATGGTGATATGTAAGTCCCCGGAGTCTCCCTTTATCTTTTTATACAGGACGTCAATAGCGCAATGCACAATCTTAGACGATAGGTCAACAGTATTATAATTACTCATAATATATATTATAACAATCAGCCGCAAAAATTCAAATTCTGCCCGATCGGTTCGCTAAAATTGATGACGTCTTACACTAATTATTGTATTTTTTTTTTTTTTTTATGAACCATCAATATTATTGACTATCGTATAATATAGTCCGGTGTCTTATACACGCGTTGTACCGCACGATATACACGCATATGGCGAAGACGTGATTAATAACAAATCTAACAAACTAACGAAAAAAAAAAAAACAATCTCATATTAGTATACCTACCTACTGCTTTATTGCTGTGTGCTACGATTATACGAAGATGCAGTAGGTACCTGCAGGTGTATACTTATACGGTTTCTCTTTCGTAAAGAATATAATATAACACGTGTGTTACGAGATTGCCGCCGACCAGCGATGTTATCTACCGAATTTTTTTTCGACTTTTTCGAAAAAAAACCACCACGCTCTCGAGGAATACATTATAATATTATGTATAAATTATATTAATTAAAATAATCTAGAATCCCCCGGGTTGGCCTACGCTTTTTTCACCTATTACAATAAATAACTATTAAAACATCCACGTCCGGGTTAAACGTGAGGGCGTCAGAACAGTGTGGGTGTCGCGTGTGTAGTGGTTTTTTTACTTCATATTTTTCTCCTCTCTTCGCACCGTATAGAGGTACCTATATATATTTAATATATTATTATAATACACGCGAGCACAAAACACATATAGTATAGATATATATAATCTAGTGATTTTACCTCGACGATGGCGATAATATAATAATCTTATAGCGGGTCCTCGTGCAGCAGGCACGGGGCTGACGAAAATCTAGATTCGCCTCGAACAAGGACACAAATTACGAGGAAATAGTTTCGACTGTATTTAGATGATTTCCAGATTTTCAGAAATGTATACATAGAGCGATTATTGTACTGTTAATACCGCAATTTTTTGGAAAAACGAAGAATTTACAAATATCATTGACAAATTGGCTTGACAATTGAAGATAAATATCAAATATTATCAATTAAAAAAACATAAATTTAACCAAAACAATTCTATAGTATTTCCTAAAATATAATATAGCCAGGTGCTAATAATTGATAATGTTGTTAACTTATTGTAAATAATTATCACGATTATTATTATTATTATTATTTTGCTGGAGGGTTAATATGGAAGTATGAAAAATTTCTTTAACATGCGTAGTGCGTTGAGGTGAATCGATATAAAATATCTATACCTACTGCTTAAGCAAATTCTTATAAACCGTTCAGATAAACTTTTATAGACAGTTGTGTATCATTAAAATGATAACATTTTCTTTCTTATATGAACAGACTTAGAACCGTCTATATAGGAATATTGTACTCCGATGTTAAAGTGGTCAATAACGACACAACTCTTTTTGAGACAAAAATATTGTATATTATTATTCATTACTATTTAATTAAAATTAAAACAAAACACTGTAGGTATAGGTTAAATTAGGTTAATTTAACCTAACTTTTGACAAGAAAATCAGAATTAATTATTATTTCATAGAAGTTGTGGTATACGTATCCAAAACGTGATAGCACAGAACCATAATATAGTTTTAAGAGGTTACAAGTGAATAAAACGCATATTATCCAATACCACCATATATACTGTAAATGGGGAGTGTGGTTTAATATAAAAAAGTCTATTTTTTTCACTTAAACGCTTAGTGTATACGAAACTCATCTGAACAGCTTATCCATTTTTGTGTAAAAAAGGCTAAACGATTCGTCCAAATGACAATCGTTCGTTGAAATGTGTTTAGTATTTTTGTCTGAAAATCTGAGCATATTCTAATATGTTGGTATAACCACGACAACAGACGAACGCGACATGGTAATAACCGTTTTAAATAATATATTATTATATTATGCTTCATATAAAGACTTCTAAAAATCGAAATATACAAAAACCACAACGAAGAACGCGTTCTTTCAAACGTAATAATTTAAAAAATAAATTGTTTACGACTGTCAGCACACGCGCAACACATATACTTTATACGTAGCTCTGCAATTGAACCGCTGACCGAGAGCATATTTTCTATAGCGGCTTACGACGACCAGAAAAAAAAATCCGATGAAACAGAAACAATAGTAATAGTTTTTTGATTTTTTTTTTTCACACACAAAAAATATGTCGTCTCTCTAACAATTGAAACAAAATATATAAGACTCGATCCGCCATCCACCGATTCATTACTATTATTATAAATCTGTGTTGCGGTTGTAATTAATATGTCACATCATACACGTACACTATAATAATATTATATTTTTTAATGAGTTAGTGTTTGATCAATGTTGTACGTAACGATGGTATTAACTAATAACAAACAAGACTGGTAAAAGTTTGCACATTGTAGGATATTAATCTTGCCAAGTCGTAATATTTATACATAAAAAAAAATCTTGTCTGTTAATTATAGATACAAAATGCGTTATTTAATATAATTATGAAAGATAGCTATTGAATTTACGTAACTTGAGAAACATTGAATTAGAATTGAAAAACAAGTAAAAAAGCGTATTACAATCGAGTCGTACTTAAATATATATTATTTTGTTGCAGGAAATTCTATTCATCGTTCGACTGATAAATAATAATATGAACGATATTTTTTGGTTTTTTATTGTCATTTATGTATAACTTTGTTATTTACATCGTGAAAAATAATTTACAAAATCATATTAAAATTGTATATAAATATATAGGTAATATATAATTTAAATTTTACTCGAGCGTAAAAAGTTTTGTATAAAATAAATAATATATATATATATTTATAATTAATTAATTATAATTTAACTAAATATTAAATAATTATGTACAACAAAAAAAAAAAGAAGAAATTACACAAGTGCAAAAAAAAAAGGATCAAGAAGCTTTTACAAAATACACGTATAAATATAAAACTAAAATAATTCAAAGCAAAACGAAAGAATATAATAAAATGTGTTATATTCGATTTGGTAAAAAAATTATCAAATGTGCGCTAACGTTTATTGTAGGTGGATTTAAAAAAAATCTTTGAGCTTACTCAGATTTCGTATTATTTTTCCGACAATATCTAAGCGCGATGATATAAACAAGTAAAACGATATGATATAAAAACCTCAAAGAATGTCGATAATAATAATAATAATACGTGGGAGAAAAAGAATGATGGAGATATAATATATATACTATACGTAAACGGACAGCTGACGAGAGTGATATTTTGTTAAAAAAAATTTGTCGAAAAATCATATCTGTCAGGACGCGATGGACGTATCAGTGTAATACATATTAATTTTAGATTGACGTTTAATACGTTTCTGTAAATAGGATTGTATATATGATATACAGTAGAAACCGTCATAACTTATAATGACACTGAATCGTGTGGGGTAGTGGATGAGAGTGTCAGTAAAAAGCCTTTAACGACGATGGTCTTATCCGATCACACATATACTTACGATATTGTACGCGCGCTTACTAATAACTATCACGATATGATTATCCCGGATTTGTAATTGAAACTTGACGACCTAGCGCCAACCAATCGATCGATAAGTGTATTACGCTAGGCAGTTATAGAATATCATGATTAAATTTATTGTTTAGTGCTATATTACTTGTTTATATTTATTTATATTGTAATAATAGTATTAATGACCATCCAAATTATTTACACGATGCCACACGGTGTCGGGAAGACGATAGTAATAATAATAATAATAATAATTTATATGCCATTTCCTCTTTCGAATAATAAAATATAATGATAATATATTATATGAAACGTCGGAACTGACATTATATGGACGATGGTGTACATAAATGTGTAGTAAATTATTTTAAATACATGTAATTCTTAACAACTAATTGGTCGTTAAAAAAAAACCGTGTTTCGTACATTATTATATTAAGACTAGTAGTGTGCGACAAGTCGTCCGACTCGTAAAAAATTATAATAAAGGCTTGGAGAAAAATAATAATGATATGAGGTATACCACTCGTATACAATGAAATAATAATAATAATAATAATAATAATAATAAAAATAATAAAATAATAATAATATAATATAGTGTCGTTCCGCTCTTGCAGGCGAGTACCGCTCCGCTCCATCACTCAGAGACGTCGGTCGCACAACCGCAACCACATTCGGTCACCACCGGGTATTCCACCTTGATCCACTGACATACCTTTATCGGGTTGACCATTGACCCAGTCGCCTTTCCGCCCGGCAAGCTGTTGTACTGTTGTAATACGGCCGAAGGACCACTAGGGCCACGGCAGTGCCACCTCAATAGTGTTTTGTACTGGTTTCCGGTGGCTCGGCAGTACATGCCTGCGGGTACCGAGCACGATGTCTCACCCTTGGGGCAGTGGCCTTCGAGCAGCCACCGAGGCCAGAACCTCTGGCCCAGATCCTTCCACTGCCTGTGCATTGGACACGCTGTTCGGCCCCAGAGGTATTGCTGAATCTTCCGACGCAATTGACCAGATATCCTGGTCCGGAGCCGTCGGCCGTCTGACAGCGAGAAATATTTGGTGTCCAGATCCCGGATCTCCGTCGGCATCTTGCCCGTAGGTACCAATCGGCCTCGCCGATTTCTCCTGTAAAACACACGGATGACAATAACAGTGTTAGTATTATTATTTCATTAGCTACTACAACAATAATATAGTAACAAGTGCACAGGTGTAACTATAGGTATTCAAATTAGAGGGTGGGGCTATCAAAGTCCTGCCTGTTATTAGTGGATTATATTTTTCTCTACAGCTTTAAGAAGCAATATTTCTTATTATTGTTTATTCCAACAGCACGCTGTCCACTACCAGCTACAGCCAATCGGGAAAGTTCTATCAATTCGTTACACCTACCTATATATTAGAATGTCGAGAATGTATAAAGATCATTTACTTATTTAAAAAAATATATTATTATAATATTACCCTATATTAACTTATATTTATATACATATTAAACAATTATTATACATATATAACGAGTTTAAATAATACATATATATATATATATAGGACTCATATGAGAAATTATACATTACTTTTATATTTTGCATACAATAAAATCACATTTATTATTTGAGTATTAACGTCAATAATTAATATTTTTATCACAGAATATCAGCATTATTTGTGTTTTTCATATGACTAAATTCCTAATAGTTTTTATAAATTAATATTTCATTTGATACAGATCACATACAAATTAAAGTACAAAAACCTTTATAGATTGTGATAAGTATTTAGTATATAATTATGTTATACTTAAACTTAACATCGTGTTGTATACTTGTAAGAATTGTTAAATGTTTTGAATTAACAGCTACACAATGTATAATATATGTGAATTTAAACGTTTGAATAATAATTGTTTCGCTAATTTAAAGGTTGTGAGTACATACCTAGTCCATGAAATTAACATAACGTGTTCTACATGATAAATAATTACCGTTGGAATCGTAAATAAATCATGATTTTTATTTGTATTTAGTTTTTATTACATCATTCGGTGACAATAAGTGACGTATCTATGTAAGCTATACCCTACACTAAGTTAATCGTTGATTTAAAAACACATGACGTGTTATATTAGTATAAAATTAAAGCATTATGTATATATTGAGGGGACCAGAGGATTATATTATACGGGATGAAAAATATGTCAAATCTATTATTTGATATGAATTTGTATCTCCCACAGTCCTGCCTATACAATCTATAATAATTCTTTATAATAACGATCTACAGTATATGAATACAGAGTGATTCACATTTTAACCTAAGACATTTATTATTTCAGAAAACACTAAACATTTTTAAAAATATGTTTCTAAATGTCTAATAAGGCACGTGAAGTAAGAATGTACTCAAACTTTTCTAAAATATCCTAACAACTTTTGCTAGGATTTACTGGAAGTAATGAAAGAGTATACAAAAATTTGACATTTTTGTTACTAAATAAACAATATACTAACACATTAGTCGAACATAAGTAAACAAAAAGAGTCAAACTTAAAAGCATGCATGCGATGTTGTTAAAAATTTATGAGAATGTTTAACCATTATTGTAGATTAAAAGCTATACATAATAATAAAACAAGACCAAATTGAACTTGTGTTGAAATTTAATACCATGTTGATTAAATGGGGTATAATATATGTATAATATAGATTCATAAAATATTTTTTTTAAATAGTTCGATAATAATATGGTCTCTGACAAGTTTATCAAAAGAATTCAGTCCAACTAAAACTTAATTAATTTTTTTTTTTAATTTTAGAATTACAAAATCAAATGAAGGAATCAGTAGAAAAAAAAAATACACTATTGTATTTTTACGTCCAATGAATTCACGTACCTTAGGTAACAATGATGCGTACTTCTATTTCTTATTTTTACGACTCCAAAACAATCGAAAGTACAATATAATACACATAGTATATAGATTTAGTAGATATTTTGGCAGATCATATAATACAACTGTATGATAAACTTTTTTTTTTTTTTGTGATTGTGGAGGAAAAGTTTAACGACGCATAAATTGCAATAAAAATGTGTGAATTATCTATGGCTATTGATTTTTTTACCTGATGGACTTTATGAATAATAATAATTATATCTATTATAATATTATATTCATCATTGACATGAAAAACCCTTCCATGTATAATAAAAACCAATTTTCCAGGACACATAAAAAACGTTTGTGCGTCATGTTATTAATTTTTAATCACATATAAAGTATTTAATAAACAATTAATATTAAGTAATATGATGAATTATTTATTATTTTTTCATTAATTCCACAACTGAGTTAGGTGATAGTGCATAGAAGATATTATTATCAAATGATAGTTTATTTTTTTTCTGAATTTAGGAATACCAAAACTCCCTAAAACCGTAAATTCGGAACTTTGGAGAATTTTTCGTGTCAACAACGATGACAATTGCAAGTTGAAACCCGAAATCAAATTCAATAACCATTCTCACCTGAAAGGTATGTCGGCGACGGGTACCAGGTGTTCGGGGGCAGTTACGCTCATGTAGTTGGGGTCAAACTTGGCGGCCAACTTGGCCAACAATGCCGTGACATTTAGGTCAGAAGGCCTGGGATCCAGTGCCGGGTTGGGCATCTCGATGAGATCTACAACACCCGGGTCGTTGGATGGCACTGGCCGGAGATCTAGGCGAACGGCCGTGCATATGACGGTGCGGCAGATCGAGCAACACGCCAGCGCGACCAGCACGGGCCACCATTTGACAGCCATCTGGAAAAAATTGACAAAAAATAAAAACCGTGAATAACAACATTGCGCGAATGAGCAAATAATCGTGATCATTTTTATAAGGTTTCATATATTTGTACATCGTGCTTTACGATGAGAGGGGCTAGATTAAAGTCAGTTAAAATGAATAGACACCACGCTACGATGAAAGAACGACGAATTCATCACCCGCCCACTAACTCGTCCGTAAAATCGATCTGTCGTGTTGTATTACTGATTTATATACAAATATATGTGCCTATAACCACTCGGACAATTAACTGATTGTCCAGTTCACGGATAAAAAATAAAAAGAATTATTCTACAAAACTTCTATTCTGTTAATTGTATCACCACTCAACAAAAGAAAAAATTAGTTATACAATACGTTTAGATAATAAAATATTAAAAATCTTATAAATCACTTTCGACACGAGACTTCACCGCTGTAATCGATGACGTGTTATACAAAAAAATTAATTTATTCGTTTCGATTATTAATAAGAACCTTAATATGTACATAATTGATTATAGTAAATATTTAAGATTTATAAGTAAATAGTGCGATGTGCGACTTTACAGGAGACGGGCGGACACTGTACTGCAGGATTTACACTTAAAAACAACGCAAAATAATCTTATAGTTTAATACATGCTGATAAGATTAACTTCAGAACCCTAAACAACACGAAATATACGTTATAAATAAGTAGATAACACACTCTCCTCATCATCATTATATTGACATTTACTATTTTTCTCTTTTAAATACGCATTCTAGGTAATAATTAAAATGTGTGAGTGATACTAAGAGATAATTCATTCTTAACATGTAATTAGGCTGTCTTTTATTACTGTACAACTTAGATTCATTGAAATGGCTATAACGCAATATACTTTGCCATATAAATACAGTGTCAAAAAAAGTTTAATCTGCTATCATAAAAATTAGGTATAATGGTATTCATAGAATTAAAAAAAAAATTTTTGATTTAGCTAATAAATTAATAAAATACAGAGTGAATGATCAAGGGTCTTAACACTCATTTTTTATTTTAATTATACATTCATTCGAATTATGATTTTTAGAATGTATAAATATTCTTAAAGAGAGCCATATTTTCATTAAATAGGTATTTAGATTTTTTTACACTATATTCAAGAAGTATCTTAAGTCATTAAATACCGATTTTATTTTTAAGTAAACATCACATTTTTTTTTTTTTTTACTAAGTTATTAAAAAAATGAGGTTTTTAGAAATCTTGATGCACTAGAATCAAAATTTATTGAGTAACTTAAGAGTTAATTAACTGAGCTAAGATTCTGTTTTTTGTATTTTTGTGTACACATAACTATGAATATTATTACCACGGTTATAGCAGGCATCAATAAATTATTCAATGTAAATTTTGGATTACAGAAGAGATTACAAAATCCATATAATAAACCATGTTCAATAACATATTTCAATAGTTTTTTCAACGCATTTTTGAAAATATCTAAAATTGAACTTAAAAATTTCAAAAAAATTTGACAGTGGAAAATGATACTGATCGAATAAATTCGTATGAACGAAATGTTTTTCACGTAAAAATAAATATCAATTAAATAATAACCATTGTAAAACGAATTAGCTTCCTCACCCTATACCCTTCACTTCTTAGAATCTAATAATATCAAATACCATGTAACTTGTTCATTAGAGATATTATTTAAAATTTATTACTTAGATTTAAATAATTATAAGATTTAAATAAGATATTAGGTAATATAATATATTTTTTTTGGCAAATACCTGTTTGGTGAAAAATACAAAAATAAGAAAAAAGTTATCAAATTATATTAATTACGTGATAAAAAAATATTGAAGCAATCTATATATGAAAAAAAACATTACAGATAACGTAAAAAGTTGAATCTTTTTATAGGCAACGAGCGATACATAAGGTGAACGTATAATATGATATCAATATCATATACAATAAAAAAATATAATCACCGATATCGGTTTTATAATTTGTAGTTAATTTGTTCTAAAAATATCATAGATTAGATTTTTGAAACAACAACCGAAATTTATGGAAATTTACACGAATTGTTGATGGATAAAAATACAAATCAACATATAAAGAAACGATTGAAAAAAATGATATCTCTTTAATTAAAATTTATGTTTAAACCTATTACCTACATATAAATGACTATGATTTGAATTAAGGTTCCAGAAAGAGTAAAAAATAAATTATTAGTCGATAGGCTTTACCAAAAATTTTGTTAAGACTACTGATGTTTAAACATAATTATATTTTAGCAGGTACCAGAAAAGATAAAAAAAATCAAAGTTGTTAAAATACTCGTAATATTGGTCACACATCTATCGGTTGGCTTAAAAATTAAAAACTTATTTTTATTTACTGTTTTTATTTAAAACCGAAATTCTTCAATCTCTTTGTAAAAACTAATAATAAATCATATCAATTTTGTGCATAATTTTCACCGGTCTCACATATCATACATTATTACCTTTACAGACAAGATAAAACATTTATACAGCTAATCATTTTTAGTAATTTTTGTGTTTTTAAGGAAAAAAGTGTAAATAACTTATTTTATGTATTCCTAACATTAAATATTTGCGAAAAAATATGTCTTGTATAATAATACAAATACTATTTTTGACACAGAGGATTCTTAATAATATTTATTGTAACAAACCTTACATAATATTATCACTATAATAATTATTTTACATTAAGCAATTATTATATATGTCATATATTACATTATGTTTATATTAATTATATTTTTATTTAATAATTGAATTACTACACCTACTTATTCCCTACACAGTAGTTTACATTAATAATTAAATAAATAATTAAAGCTATTAAAATTAATTGTTAACATTTAGTAATTTATAAAAACTGTCCAAATATAATAAGTACTTTATTAGATATTATATATAATAACCAATATTAAGAAATAGGGACTTTTATTCTTACAACTCAAAAACCACTCGTTTAAATTCTGATTTAGTTACATTGATATGTTTAAAGAATTTGCCTGTAATCATTGTAGAAAAAGTTGGTTTTTATTGGAAAAAAAGAAAATTTGTATTTTTTAAAGACACTCATTAAACATTATAAAAAAGTATTACATAACAATTTCTTTCAATATAAGTAACTGAAATCAGACTAAATTTTATATAGATTATATTTATAAATTGTCACGAAAATTTAAGAACTATAGTGAGTATATAATATTAATTTCCTGTGATCTGACAAAAAAAAAAAAATTATAATTTTTATCAAGATCAAAATCTTCAAGAACTGTCTTCATTATTATACACAAAAAATGAAATACTTATAAATATTTTATCTGCAGTTAAATGTATAGTTTTCTCTTATTTTAAAAATTGTTTAAATTGTATTTCCAGTGTACTTAAAGTTTATTATATCATGCTTAAAGACATTTATTTGTAGTGCTTGTACTACTTTTTTTAAAATATTAATGCATTCTTGCTCCTTGGGACGTTATTGATAAATAAATAATTAAATATGATCCTTAAATAGGATACTTGAAAATTCCGAAATTCACAATTTGAACAAAGAAACAATTAGGGGGTGAGTTCATAGATCTACGCTCAGACGCCGGATTCAACACAATACCACATCTTCGTTCGGGTTTACCACACGCAATAGTTTAACGTCGTTTCGCGGACACGTTTCATACATTATATATTTACGTAACAACTCATATAATATTAAACACACACACACACACTTATATATATAATATTCTTAGTTACCTGATATATATAACCTATACATATATTATAATAGGTATTTATCCGAAATGGACGAACGAACGGGCGCCCGCTCGTACTGGGTCATATAATATTATGTAGAGTTTTGCCGCCGTCGAGCTAGTCTTTTTTTATTATTATTATTATTCTCTAAATCGTCGGTAATTTATTTCGAGTCACGTCGAAAAATAAAATTAAAACGGAAAAAAATAGTAGAAAAAACCCGTAGAAGAAGAAGAAACCGGCCGACTGGATTCTTTGCCGGCACATTAACACCTCGGCTCGACGATCCGTTAACGATAATTCGTTCCGTCGGCCCGAGTCCCCGCGCCGCCGGAGCCCGCGTGACCCGTCCGGTTTGTATTTTTATTTTTTATTTTTTCCGTTTCGGATTCAACGCGTCAATCAACCGAAATCGTGTCCGAAAATCTCGGAGCCGACAAAAGGACTGCACGGCGTCCGTACATAACACACTGTTTGGCCTCGGCCCCACATCGACGACGACTACGACGACGACCACCATCACGCAGCCTCCACCACCGCAATCTCCGTCCGCCACCGCCATAATAATATGATATTATATTATTATTATTATTATTATTATTATTATTATTATTATTACACGTACGCGACAGCGACAACCACTACCGCGGTATAGTGTTGCGTCGGTAAACCCCGTTCTAGTCGCCTTCGGAGGCGTCATTTTCCCTCCTTCTTCTCCTCCTCCTCATGCTGTTGCTGCTAGCCACCGACCGCGCGGTGGGTTTTGTTTGTGACTTTATTTATCCGACGCCGTCTTACAGCGGAAACATGACACCCCGCCTTAAAATACTCGGAAATCGGACGTTCTATGATTTTTGATAAAAACAATATAATTATTGCAGTCTTCAACTTTGATCACCACCCGTCCTGGCACGTCGAATCCGCGATATCGTATACTCGACGATGGTTTTTTATATGTTAGCTGTTAAGTGTTTTTTCAAACTCTAATATTTCTTACATTTTGAGCGAAGGAGCGGAGTGAAGAATGTGTATTAATATTATAATATGTGTTTATTTTTATTATGTCTAAAGATACTTTTTTAAATAGAAAAAAATGATCAGATTATAAACTTCAAGGGGAATTTCTAGTAGTAAATTGGTTCTAGTTGATTCTTCTGGAAAGTTAAAATTGAAAATATTCACTACTTTTTAAAA